ATATTCATAATCAAATTTTGACAGATTTAAAAATAAATTTCAAGGTCGTAATTAAACTTATCAAATTACAAAGGAATTATTCACACAACTCAATAGTTCTTAAGTTCAATTTCTTTAAGTTCAACCTCTCTTCACTCAATAAATCAAGTTGAAGGTTCAATTGATGAAATTGATAAAGATAATTACTTCAGATGAAGATAGTTAATCTTTACAAGTATGACAAATTTTAATATATTATGTCTGCTTATCGTAATAGTATACTAATAGCTTAGTTTAGGCATGTAAGTCTTATACTTTTATATATATTATATAGAAAATTACTACGAATCACCACTGGTGATTATCACTGGTATCACGTGCCTAGTATATACAATACGCGTTATACAGAAATAGTTTATTAATAATCCAACTTTTTTTTATTCTTTTAACAGTTATCTAAGTGTCTAACTATTCCACGTTTGAATTCACAGCCCTTTACCTTTAATTACTGCATTCTTTACTTTTAACTTACTTTCGTGTATTTTCTTAGCTCTAACTGTAACTTTTACTAGCAACGTGTTACGCGTCATAAAGATATTGCATTAGGAATTGACGCGATTAACTTTTCTTGCATTCCATTCCAGCATTTCACATTCGAATTCAAGCTATAGGAACTCTTTACCGTATTTCACTTCTCTTTAGTTATACCTTTCTTTGTGTAATTTTCGTTTCAACCATAACTGTTGATTTTCTTGCATGCTCAATTCTTTTGCAAAACTATACTGACCATGTTTCTCTCCACTTAGTTACAAGGCTAATGGAATATTTATTAGATTATGAAGATGACGTGGAGAACCACTTACCAGGCTTTGGTAATACTGTATTTGATTTCTCTTTAGTTATACCTTTCTTTGTGCTCTCGCGTATTCAATTCTTTTGCAAAACTATACTAACTAACAGCCTTGTTTTCTCTCCACTTAGTTACAAGCTTAATGGAACATCTATCAGATTATGAAGACGATGTGGAGAACTACTTACCAAGTTTTGGTGATAATAATGCAAATGGAAATAATACTGATGACTATGATGTAGATGTTAATGAAACGGTATTGAAAGTTGGGAATTTATTTAATGACTGGGACCATGTTCAAGCTGTTGTTGATTCGTTTGCCAAGCAAAATGGTTTTGTAGCCAATAAAAACCGTAAAGATCTTGACCCTGTTGATAAGTCTATTGTTCGTCGACGTAACTACAATTGCTGAAAAGCAGGAACTTATCAACCAAAAAAGGTCGAAGATATAAATTTGCACTGTGATAGTAGTTCAAGTAAAACAAATTGCAAATGGGGAGTTGGTTTTTATCTTGGAAAGTATGAGAAAAAAGTACGGCTTACTAAACTTAACAATAAGCATAATCATAGCTGTGATGTAGCAACTATTGAATTGGCGCCAAAAAATTTACGTCTTCCACAGGAAATCCTGGATAAGATTGAGCATTATACTACAAATGGTCGTTTAGGTGCTGGTCAGCAGTACGATCTCCTTGTCAAAGAATTCCCTCAACATCATATAAAAAAAAAGAACTTGTATAATGCGATCCAGAAGTTTAGAGGTGTACGA